TGTGTGTGTGTGTGTGTGTGTGTGTGTGTGTGTGTGTGTGTGTGTGTTTAATGGAATATGAAGCCTGCAATCCTAAAGCTGCTTCCATGCAGGGCTGCAATCCACAGCATTGCATGGTTAAAACAAGGAAGAATATCCTATCCAGAAGGAAATGAAGCCATGAGAATTTGTTTTTGTTCTCTGTTTACACCTCTTTGTAAATATATTCCTCTTCCACCATCACCTCCATTCCAATTTCTCTCTTGCCATTTCTTTCTTTACTGTTACAACAACTGATGCAAGTTAAACTTTTTCTAACCTGTTTTTATTTTGAACAATTTTTAAATTGTGGTTTTCAACAAAATAAAGAAGGATTTTAAAGAAAAAAAAGACATTTATCTGTTTGATTTTCCTTACAGTACATTGTTTTTATTCATTAATTAACCTTTGGATTAAAGACAGGTCAGAATTTATTGCAAACAGTTCAGAAAACTGCTGCTGATGTGAACAAAAATGACCTTTTTACAACAGGTTAAAGAAATGAGTTATATCAGTAGAAGAATGTGCTCTATTTCACCCATCTTTCAAGCTTTGTAACAAACATGATAAGAACTCAGAAAAGCATATTATCCATTATGGTATCATGCTTTAGTGGAGTCACCTCCAACACAATTTTAAAAATCACCAGGTAATACATTTCCTTACCTTGAAGATGGTTTACAGAAATACCCAAATACAAGCCAAAACCTCTTTAAAACATCCAATTGAAAGCACCAATCGAAAGCCAATGAGCTAGTAAGAGCAGTGAAATGTCAATTTAAGACATGCTCACGTTTTTTCAAGAGAATTAAAGGAGACTTGAAAGAGGAACACTGCGCCAGAGTTTGGTATGCTTCAGCCTCTGCTAAAGGACTTTTGCAGAATTTGTAGTGGTAGCAAAAGCCTGCCAAACCTTTTTGACCAGAAGTGACAGCAAGTCTGAAGAAGTCTCTGAGCGTCCCACAGGAAGTAAACCCTCTCTCAAAACACTGAATTCACTCTCCCTTTTTCAAAACAACTTCTGGCTTCAGTTTAATTCGGCAAAGTAGGAACGATGCTGACCTGGCTAAGCTATCAAATGGTGCTTGCAAAAGTGTTTGCAAAAAGACTGATAGTTAAACACCCACATGCATTTGTGCCTTGGAGGAGCCATGGGAGCTGTGTGTCTGTCCTGTAGCTTAGACCAAAGACTTCGTTGCTCAGCTGCGGACTGGGAATGCTCATCTCTGGCGTGCCTACAAGGAGTCCTGCACCGAGCAGAAGGGTGGAGCGGATGGTCCGAACGGCCCTTCTAGCTCTACACGTCTATGATCAGAGGTGAAGGATCCTCATGCTCTGCACCCTAGATATTGTCTGAGGGTCACAGGCTGGTTCAGCTTCCCAGCTTCCTAGGAAGCATCTCATGGTTGGCATGGCTGCTCTCCAAGCTCAGGAAAGCAGTGCTGGAGGAAGGGGCAAGATGCTGCCTCAGGGGGTCAGGAGAGGAGGCTGCTCTCCAGATGTTGCGGCCCCATTTCTCCCCTCTCCGAGGTGCCCCAGCAGGAGGGATGGAAGAGTTCATCTAGCAAAACACACAGGAGGAGGATGGGGAGGGGAAGATCACCTCCATCATGGCCCCCTTTCTGCACCTCCAAGGTCAGGGCCTTATGGGCATCCCGGTAAAATTGTGTCCTAAAATATATAGTCCGCTCAATCCTTAAAGGAGACACTTTTCTGGATTTGTGTTATATGCCTTAGACTGTATGCTCAAGAAATGCCTTTAGGGTGTCAGAGCATTGCTCCATTTAGCTCCAGAGTGTCTGCACAGGCTGGCAGCAGGTCACCAGGATGTCAGGTAAGGTTCTTCCTGCTCCACCTGGAGATCAGCTGGGGACCAGGCTCGGGGCCTTTTGTGTGCAGAACAGGTGCCGCAGCCCTGAGCTACAACCCTTTCCCAGGGTATGCCTGTCATGTATGAGAGATATGAGTCGCATTTAGATTTGTAACCAACAGCACTGGAAGCCAACAGCACTGGAAGAAATGGAAGAAGCAGTCTTAAGACTCCTTGTGCCAGCACAGGAGTGTTTAGGACGGGAAATGGCAACATTTTGGCTGGTGCAAAGTTTGGCAGCATCCGATACCAGCTTTGCACACTTTTAGGCCTTGGATGCCAGCATTACTTTCTGGTTCTGAGGATATACACATGGCCTCTTATTAATAAATAAAATAAAATACACAGGGTGTAGGGGGGATGAAGATGAAGTGGGTTATAAATAGTATTACGGGGCCAGGAGACGTCACCTTGCTCAGCAAAGTGAAGCTTCGAGGCCTTTCTAAGACAGCTGAAACACACCAAAGTACGTATTTTCGTGGTTGTAATTCACTCTTGAGGAGTCCGTCACGTTCACGAAGATGGTGTGGCCCTGCTGGAGTTCAGCAGTTCTCCCAAGGTGGATCGACTGCAGCCCACACAGGTCCCCCGACGTGCCATGGGTCCCCACCCCTTTCAACAGGAGCTGGTCCACCTGGAATGGCAGGTTCAGATAAACGTAGACGCTGAATGGAACATGTGGCAACATGTTGCTGCAAAAGGCAACCTGCGAGTAGATGAAGTAGCGTCCACTTTTGGTGACCTTCAGATTTCCATCTTGGTAGGAAAATGTGTCATCCATTGGGGCATAGATGGCCTTCTGCCACTGCAAAACTGGGGGAAAGAATAGACTGTGTTTAAGAACATTTTTGTCCACTGTACTGCATAAGAGCAGAAGTTGCCCTAGTTCGGCATTCTCACAACCCCCACGCATAGCAAAGGGTTCTAATCAGGTCCATGGCCTGTGAACAGAACTCTTGATTCTGTGAACAGAACTCTTGATTCTTCCTCGAGTAGAATTCAAGGACCTCTTTGTCCTCTTGCTCAGAAGATGAGTCCCTCACAGAACCTCCAAATTCCTATCCCTCCCTCCCTCCCTCCCTCCTTTTAATCTAAAGTTTCTATAGACCGTTCTATCAGCACATGGTCTCAGTATGGTTTACAGTCATTTATATCCTTTAATAATCCATTCAGCTGTTCCAGGAAGGGCAGCATTGATTGCACTGCAGGTCTTGGGAGCCCACATAAGGCTTTGGCTGGCTTTAGCAACCTGCTAAGACAACAGTTTCCTTTTGCTCTCATAGAAAAGAGCTCTAGCCAGCACGATCTACTTGGGACTATCTAAGGTTCTGCTTTCCTCCTGTTTCTTAGATAGAAGGGGACAAGCACCAGAGTGGTAGCTATTCCCAGATACATCTTCTCCAAGGTGCCTTCCATTCAGAAAAGGCAGATCCTAGATCCAACCAAATCTTTATATACTGCCCAATAACACAAAGTTTAGAAACCCTAAAGTATACAAATATAACAAAGACATAGAATCTAAAACAGAATCCAGATAAATGCAGATGGGCAGGGGAAAGCCAAGGCCAACTGATTAATAGGGAATAACAAGTGGGAAAAATATCTTGAAAGTATGTATTATTTTATAAGACTATAAGAACTACAATTGAAGCATTCCACAAGTGGAATGCTACCACCAAAAAGCCCATTCTTTATTCACTGCCCATGTAAATCCCTTTGGCAGGGACACCCAGAGATGGGTCCCCAAAATAATAATAGGCCCCAGTCAGGACTATGAGGAAGAGGTAGTCTTTCAGGCAGTATGGAACTCATGTCCTATCGCAGCTCCTGACAGTACCCAGTTAAATCCCATGTGCTTCTTCTAGTGGAAATCCAACTAAATTCAGTGGGCTTGCTCTCCAGGGAGTGTGCTTTGCAACCTAATTCAATTAATTAATTGTCTGGATCTTATAGTGTGCAAAGCAAAATGTGTTTACTCCATTGCAAGTGCACAATTCTTACTTGGGACTAAGACCACCGGATCAGTCTATCAATTAATTTTCCATGTATATGAAAGGACAACAAAGCAAGACGCCTGAAGCTAGACACTTCCTTGCTTTGCTTTTAAGTAATGCATCGTTTAGAGGAGACATTCTGCCTTGCACAAAAGAAAATGAGGACTGCATTTCTAATCTGAGGTTTGTCCTCCGCTGTTTTATATGCACTTGTACTGAAAATAATAATTAAAAAAACATTACAGCCTTATCAATCAGGAGCACCCTTCCAGTCAAATAAAATGCTTAAACAAAATGCATATATTAAGAGAAAGTGTGCACAAATATATCTGAATTCATGAAAATAGCATTACAATTAATTCCATCAGGAATATAATGCATATATTTGAGAAGATGGTATATAGGAGGCAAAATGTGCATAGTAGACAGAATTCTGTAAAAGGCTGCATGTATTAGGGGAAATACACACAAAAATGAATATATCAGTTTGTGTATATGTTAATTTTCACAGCAAACCAACCTTAAGAGAGGGAAATTTCTCAAATGTTTGAGACAAACTGAAGACTGCAAAAATGAGAAATGGAGTTAAACTGACATGGAGAGGTGCCCATCAAATGAAATTAGTTTTCATCCCCCTATTGAAGTAAATTTTAATTTGCAAAAACAAATGTATTTGTCTTCACAATTGTCATGCTATGTACGATTTCAAGCATGTCCGGTCTTTCCATTCCATTGCTGCTAAAGGTAACATGCAGCAGACAATTAAAGTGAAATAAAATTACCAGCAGAACAATCATCTCAGCAAACCCATGAGGAGCCGCAGAGCAAAACAACGGAAACATCTGAAGTTGCAACAAAATTAGCTTAAATAAATCCCACCCGTACCAGTTCTTAGAAACAGCAGATTTGCTGTCGAACAGAGGGATGGTGTTTTTCCGTCTATTTCTGGTCCATATCATTTTTCATATTTTTATCCATCGTTCCATGCATCCTTTCCTGCTTTAGTCTGAAACGTTGCTTTTGTTTTTTAATGTCCTCTCAAGATTCATATTTACACCCACATTTGAATCTGCATATTTTCTCTAAAATACTTAAATAAAAGGGAAGATGACAGAAAGGGAGAAACACTTTGCTGTTTCTGCCTCGAGTGTCACTTTTCTTTTCTTCAAATATAGCTGAGAGAACAGATAGACTCCCAGACTCTCCGTCCTCACCTTTCTTGCTGTCCTTCAAGCCGGCCAGGTGAATAGCTGCAGGTGGTATCTTGTCTCCTAAAATACAAAACAGTTCTCATTGGCTTGGTCCATGTCCAGTTATTCTAACCCAGGCATGGAGAAGTGCTCAGTCCAAGGTCCAAACCATTTTGAAAGACCTCTCAGTGGTCGCATTCCAGTGGTGTGAGGGGCCAACAGCCAAAGGGTCAGGACAAAAATAGCAAGATACTTCAGTTCCACATTCTTATTGCCTATAGCTAAGCATTTGGAGAAGCACTTCAACCTTTCAGAATGGGGGAAATGAACAAAGAGAAGCCACCAAAGGATGGATGGCTGGGAGAAAAGAGGTGGAATGAGGGGAAACCCAGAGGACTGGATTTGGCCGACAAGTCTGAGGCTCCACACTTGCTCCAAGCTGTTGGAGGTGCTACATGGTATTCATGCCGGCTATTTGTAATCCTGGACCTTAAAGGCTGTGCCACTAGAGCAGAGGGGCAAACAAGAATGCCGGTCCAGCAGGCAAGTGGTGGCCATGAGGAGAAAGAGGTTGGCAGGGAGAGGGCAGACTCACTGGTGGAGGTGGTTCGTGGAGGATGTCTTATCCAAAGGCCCTTAAAAGCCTGGAGCCAGGACTGACTACAACTCCCATCATCTCCACCCAGCTGGTTGGGGGTTATGTGAGTTGTAGTCCCATGTATCTGGACAGCACAAGGCTGGGGAGGCCTTGCTTGAAGGTCTCTGAGGCAGCGGCTTTCCCTCCATGCCAGCTCTGCTTGTTCCTTTGCCAATAAAGGCAATGTCACAAACATGGGAGGTCTCTAGGGGCAACATGGGGGCATGTGCAGCACTGGGGCCAAAGTCGCCTCTTCTGGAAGGAAGGAGAGACCAATGACAGACAATGACCAGATGTTCTGAACATCAGCATGGATACAATAGCCCAGCTGCCATTTGGTACCCCATCCCGTATGTTTCCCAAGACAAGTGCTGGCAACACACCCTTCTGAGCCACCTCCGCCAGTGCACAGACCTCCTCACCACCATGGTCATCAGCTGCTCTTGCTCCTCATCCTTGCGTGCCCCTGCTCCTGCTCCTGCTCCTTTTCACCGCCACCGTTGTCTGGGCCAGAGTGAGTGGAAGGTCACAGCATTGAGGAGGAGAGGCAGTTCCAGGGACTCAGCTGGGTTTTTGTGAGCAACTCATTCCAAGTTCCAGCCGCCTTATAAAATGTGCAACTTTCTGCTTTTACGAAAACAAGCTCATTCCAAAATTATATGTGGTCCTTTTGGGAACAGAGCTGTTCGAGATGTCACCTCCACCCAGTCCCTCAGGACATGTATTCTTGGATGCCTACTTCCTATTGAAATGTTCCCACCAGGGCGAAGAACATACCTTTCTGCATGGCGAATGGACTTTCTTGTGGAACCTAAAAGAAATGTTGAAGAGAGAGAGAAAGTTAAAATCATGGCGGCATCTGTGCCATGCACGTCTCTCTCATGACCCAAACCACCTGGTGGCAGAAACCAGCAAGTGAATAGTACATGTGACACCCACATTCATATTGCTTGATGTCTAGTCAAGAACTGGCATAACCTATCAATGCCAAGCAGAGGCACAAAATTAACCATCTTAAAACCAAACTAACAAAGAGCCTTGTGGCACCTTCAAGGTTAGCACACTTGCTCTGATATAATCATCCATGGATGCTTTCCACATCATCAGATGCAAATTTATAGACCCCCATACATGTGCTGGGAGGGGATGGATGTACACGGTGTTAACAAAGGAACCCGAGATGCAGAAATTACATGCAGTGATAATTACTATATAGTTCTCTTTCTCAAAACTTTGTTGCATGGTAACATCCCAGCCATGATCCAATCATATGATAAAGAAAAGCAGTTTTGTCCTTTTTCAAACAAGAGTTGAATCGTTGCACTTCAACGTTTCATTGATATTGGTCTTTGAAGTTCCTTTGTTCAAGAATGGCTTCCTTATTGATGGTCGGGTTCAGATAGTACCATAACTTGCACTCAGTGGTTGAGTGTGTGGGTTGTCGTTGAACTGTGAGTTATCGTGTTGTCTGAGATAACAGGCCTCCCATAGTGAACAACCCACAGGTTCACAACCCAACAATAAACCACGGGTTCTCTTCATGGATTGCTTCTGGTTAATAGGCCCTGGCATTTTGCTACTGCTGTTTTCAACAATCATTTGCACTCAACCCCTAAAATGTGTCCTATCCCGTCATCTGTATCCAGTAAGAAGGTCCTGGCAGACTGAAATATTCTTCTGGTGGATTGTGAACACCAGGGGTTCACTGTTGTGTCCATCAGTGCAGTACAGAAAGAGTCAGTGCTTTGAATAAGAAGGAACACAAGTGCCAAAGTTGGGGCTTTTATCACACTACATAGATGAATTGAGTCACCATTTTAATCTGGGTTATCATCCCTGTTTAATGAAGGTCTGCTGTTAAACTCAAGAGCTATCCCTGACTGAACCATCTGTATTCTCATTCCCTCTGACAAAATGGTCTCTCTTCCAGCCCACTCTACCCTGAGCCCGCCACTGGTATATAAATCTGCAAATTTAGTTTTCTAGTTAATGCTTTGCACATAGTGACAGGTAGTAACGAAGTCACACAAGGGGAAATTTGGGGCAGTTAAGCATTAATTAATTGGGGATCATCGTACAGTAAAAGGGGTGTGTTGGGAGGAGATTCCTGATCGTCCTCTGGTCCTACAAAGGGCGGTCAGGGTGAAAACCTATGCCAAGGTAGATGCGCAAGACCTTCAGGTGCTACAGCTATCCTCCTTACTTGCGCCACAGCAGACTGGAGACCTTGTTGTTAGACCCTTGCATGCCACTTCCAAATAACACTCCAGCCTTACAAGACTCCTCTTTAAATCCTTGAGGAATCGCCTGCCTATTTGGATCCTCCAAATAGGTTCTCCAGCACGGAGCACCATGGGAAGCTCCAGGAGGACTCAGAATGAAAGTTGCAAAGGAAGAGAGACTCCCACTGAGGTGGGAGCAGCACCTGGCCCTGCATCCAGCTTGCCGTGGCATTCCTCTGGCCTTGCCCATGCAGTCTCTCATCCTGATGCACCCCTGTTTGCAACTTCGGCTTGCTTGCTTGCTTGCTTGCTTGCACCACCCTTGGCTATCCAGGGTTTTTCCTCAGGCCGGTTCTACTGTTAGGCAGATGGGGGCCATTGCAGATGCCGAGAGGCAGCTACAAGGTGTTGGAGGGGAGAAAGTGGTGCCACACACCTCTAGACTTGCCTGTGGCCTTCAGGTGTGGCGTAGGAGGTTGTCCTGTTACCAGTGCTGAAGCAAGATCCACTTATCTACACTGAAGAGGAGGGACTCCATGTTTTTCTTCACTGCTGTCTTGCACTGGCCCGGGTATCCCTGCCCTTCTCCCCAGTTCCCCCTCAGCTGTGCAGGGCCAGTGCCAAAGGCCGGGCAGAAGCCCCCTGACAAGGACCCCTGGGCTTACTTCTTCGCCAGCATGGCAGCCTGCTTGCCCCCTGCCCCTCCTTCCAGCCCAACGATAGTGGAGAGAAGGAGCAGCAGGCAGGAGAGGCCACGGCCTCCATGTCCGCCCACCAAGCAAGCAAGGCAGAAGAGGCCCAGCAAGAGCACCCAGCGATGTCACCTGTGGGAAGACAGACTGGCAATGGAGAGGGGCTATGGGCCGTGTCCTGGCCACGGGATGCTGGCGGCCTGGACTGGACCCAGCTCCCTGCAAGCCAGCTCTTCCACTAGCCTCGTGAAGGGTCTCTCCAGCATCTCACCCACTTTCTCTCGCTTTGTTTCCCCGACTCTTGCTGGCCACAAAAGCTCACCCCACTGAACGGCCATCCGTGCCAGAAGGACTGTGCCCACATCAGATTTTTAGAAAAGAAGAGGGAAAGAAACAAAAGTGCTTGCCCTGCTCAGCCTTGCATGGTCAAAATGCTGGGACAGGAAAACCTGTATTTAGTAACAAGTACAGGAATGACTCTTCAAGCACAAGTAAAACGAGGGTGCGAAAACGCAACTGGCAACTTCTAAGAAGCACCCACAGCGTTGCAAGTCTCCTCGGTCATTCCCACTGCCAGGGTTGACTTTCAAGATGCTTTTACTTTTGGTAGGGCTGCCTGAGCGGCACACTTTTGAATTGTCTCCATGCCAGAAAATGCTTTCTCAGCGCATGCACCAGTCTTGGCATGGTCACCAGAACTGACCCTGCCATTAAACGGGATGGTGGGGTGGTTATTTTGGCCCTCGTGGGAGACAAAGCTGTGTCCTGGCAGTGTGTCCTTCACAGCCTTTCCCGGGACCCATGGGGAGAAAGATACCGAGTTCAGCATGTGGAGATTGGATCACCATTTAGGGCCTGGGTTCAGACAACACAGGAACCCACCCTGATGGGTAAATAGGGGGTGAGTCACTGACCCGCGGATTGTTGCTGAAAAGTAGCTTATCGAGTTGTCTAAGCCTAGCTGAGATTACAAGTCATGGTGAACAAACCAGGATTCATAACCCAACAGTAAACCACAAATTCTCTTCACAGGTTGACAAGCTGTGGCTTGTTAGTGCCATAAAACAATCCACATTTCAAGAAGAGCCCGCCCCCAACCCTTGCGCGTGGGTTAGTGTGTCATCTAAACCAGATCGATGGAATTTAGGTTCAGTTGGCAATCAGCTGAATTCGCTATCAGTTAGATTTCAGGCCTAGCCCAGGCCATTTTACTGCCTAATGAGAGGAAAAATTGATGCCCATTCCATTGGTTAACTTCTGTAGGTGGAAATGAATGGGCATCAATTTTTCCTTTCGTTGGCCAGCAAAACGGCTGGGGCTAGCCCTGCAGTTTACTAAAAAGCAAAATCAGTTGAGATTAATGGGACTTACTACCAGATAAGCATGCATAAAATCACAAGCTACTTTTCTGACATAGTAACTGCACACAACTTGTGTGGGTGTGTGTTGTGAGATGGGAAGGCAGAGAGAGCAGCTTCCCTCAAGCAGACCAAGCTGGGCCAAGATGTGAGGCTGGGGTCTCCTCCGGAATGGATGGGCACTAACCTACCTGGGGGCTTCTCTCCTGGAACCCACTATGATCCCTGTCCCTCCTGATGGTAAACCATCAGGACCACCACCACCACCACCACCACTTTTTAAGTGGGAGGCTGCCATTCTGTGAAGCCAAATTCTGCCATCTTTATTTCAGCTCAGCCAAGTTGTTTTCTGTTTAGATGCTACCCCCATCTCCCCCTTGTACTTGGGCTCTGGGGAATTTTTCTTATTTTGGGGGTGGGGGTGGGGAGGGATTGGTCTCACCGGCATGCCTCCTGGAAATGTGTATTCTGTGACAGCTAAGCTCACCAGAGCAGCCATTTCATGATTGAGCAAGGCCCTCCTCAGGTCAGTCATTTTGTGAGAGTGCTCATGACACTCTCAAGATTTCAGATATGCCCACTGACCCCCGCAAAGTTGAAACAACCTGGTATCAGGATGGATATGGGAGGCCCACTGAAGAATGACAGCAGGTTCTCCCTTTCACATCCTTATTGATTCACCAGATTAATTTCATCGGTCTTAAGCTCTGCTCAGGGAATTCCTAACCTAATACAATTTTGGAACATAGAATCATAGAATAGTAGAGCTGGAAGGGGCCAGCCGGTCCAGCCCCTGCTCAGTGTGGGACACTGAGTCAAACCATCCCTCTCCGCTGGCTGCCCATTCCTTCAGTCCTTCAGTGCTTTCTGCCTCCCCTTCATCTCCTCAAGGAAACACAAGCATGACCTCCACGTGATGGTACACATGCTTACACGGATGTTTCTCCCATGCAATTCTTGCAAATTTTATGCTGAATCAAAAGCAAGTAGGACCCATTTCAGAAGTAAGCAGGATTAACTCAGACAGAAAGTCCTCTCCAGACCCGAGACCCTCTCACCTAGAGTGACAAGCTCCATCCCCAATTCCGTAAGATATTTTCCCTGTTGGGAGAGTGTCAGAGCTTGGAGAAGGTGGGACACCTCTGGAGCCACAAATGGCCCACTGGTTGGAGGTCCCCCATCCCTGCCCTGGAAACATTACAGATAACTTTGTGGCATAGAAGTTTGAAGGAAGAGGAAGAGAAGCTCGGTCTGGAGACCAAGCGACTGATGGGGATGAGACCAAAGGGTTGGGGCTCCCTGCCCCATCCCATCCAGTCCCACCTTGTCTTTCGATTACCCTAAAGAGCAAGCCAAAGACGCTGTGCTCAGCTCAGCCACAGAGCAAACAGCTCTGTCCTCTCTTCAGGAAGTGACCCATGCAATTTTTCAGGGCTTATCACCTCATTATAACCCCGCCCCCCTCCAACAAGTCTTTACCTTGCTGCTTACATCCTGTAGATCATTGAAGGTTTTCAATATCTTTGTACAATCCAGAAGGGTAGTATCAGGATCCTGTGATTTCCGACACTTCTGCAGTCTTCTGAGGAACACAACATCTTCTTGTAAATTCAGTTCATCTCCCACCTGGCAAATGGAGTAACCAGAGAAAGTCCATTTCAAATGAGGGTTGAAACCTTTAATCAATGGCTTGCCCCCTGACCTAGGGTCTCCCAGATGTGTTGGATGAGAAGTTCCATTGGCCTTGGCCCCCATAATCTGGAAGGCACTATATTAGGAAAAGCTAGTCTAAATGAAGCAATGAATTATGAACTGAAAAGCATTCTCCTTTAACTCTCATACACCTTTTTCTTCCAAAATATTATTTTGGTCACCTGTAGGTTTAGGGAAACCATTGATATCCGATGGTCACCCACTCACCCTCAGTTCAACACATAACATGCTTTTGCTGTTTTATTAAAATAAAATTTAAGCAAAGAAGAGGAGCACATTCCACCTCCTCTAGAGGATTTCTGTCCAAACTCAGAATGAGCCAATAGATTTGCAGGTTCACTATAAGAGAGAGCCAGTATGGTGCAGTGGTGAAGAGCTGGGACTGGGACTCAGATGATCTGGGTTCGAGTCCCCGCTCAGCCATGGAGCCAACTGGGTGACTTTGGGCCAGTCACAGACTCTCAGCCCAACCTACCTCACAGGGTTGTTGTTGTGGGGATAAGATGGAGGAGGAGAATGATGTAAGCTGCCTTGAGCCCTTTGCAGGAAAAAGGCAGGATAGAAATCGAAAAATAAATAAATAAAAATAAGAAGCATTGGCCACAGCCCAGTATGAGCCAGGTCGTCCCCCCCACCTCGAATTGCTTAAATCGGCTGGATCACCCTAAGAATGACTGAAGACACAATCCAATGCATGTTTAAACAGAATAAAGCAGTACAATTCCAAGAATTCCCTACCTAAGCACAGAGAGAAGTTGTTCAGTTGTTCCACCTTGTAAAAACATGATTTTTCAGAGCAGATAAATGATTTTTAAAACATTTGTGCCCTCCCCATCTCCAAGGGACCATGTGTGGCTCTCTTCCACAACAACACTGAGGTGCAACTTAAATTGCAAAGGTGACCTACACAAGGGCCATCCAGGAACAATTCATTCCATGGTCTCATCCCACTCTTAACCATGGTGCCATGAAGCATTTAGTCATGGAACTGGACTTAATCCTGTGGGGAGCTCAGAACCTTGCATGCAGTTGTGTTCAACTGCAGGGATCTGACTGGGAACAGCAACTGCACTGCTATGGATTTTGGAATATTTGGATATTTGCCAAGTCCAACTTCAGTTAATTCAAAAAGAAGAAACTTTGAAAGACTGAGACAGGTTAAAAGGAAGCTCTCTCTCTCTCTCTCTCTCTCTCTCTCTCTCTCTCTCTCTCTCTCAAAATCTTCAATGCCCAGCTACAATGTAAGCCAAACAGGACAAATCCCACCAAGAACACAAGAATAAGAGTGTGTTTAAGAAGCCAAGTCCAGGGAGTTCTAACGAGCAAGACGCCTTCCTTCAGAAAATGGAGGTTTTGTCTAAGAGAGAACAAAAGGGAGCACAAATGCAGGAAAAAACAAACCGAAGATTAAAAGTAAGCACTTGTGCAGAGGACTTGAGGTTGGTATTGCTAAAAACTTCTCAAACCCTGTAAGATGCACAATAAACATTTCTTTAAACATATCGGAATTAGAAGACCAGCCGCAGAGATGGTTTGCCTGTTAGATAAGAACTGCATGCAAGGTGTGCTGAAAGGATAACAAGACTGAGGAATGAATTCCTTGCATTTGTCTTCACAGGTGGAAGATGTGAAGCAGATATGCCAGTGTCATGTTTTAATGGATTATTTCAGGATCGAGGCCTAAAGAACTCAGCGCCCTGACAACAGTTGTGGTTCTAGGGCCCTGTGGCCGGGCTCAGATGGATCTAACCACGAACTAAAATGTAGAATTGCTGATCTTCCAATAGAAAGATGCTGCTTGTTGCTAAAATTGGCTTCTTTATCAGAAGAATGGAAAGTGGCCGACAAACTGCGGGGGGGGGGGGGGTTGTTGTTGTTGTTGTTGGCCCATCTGAGTCAGAAAATTACAGGCCAGCTCATTTAACTTCTTTTCTAGTTAAACTGGAAGAAAATATTATTAAAATTGGCATTATATAGAAAAACAAGACTTGTTGAAGAAGAATTGGCATGGTTTCAGCAAAAGAGGTCCTGCCTCACCATCCTTTCAGAGATTTTTGAGAGTAAGAATAGACAATACTTGTGCATCCTAAAAGCTTTTTGGTAAATGCTACCACAAAGATTTATAAGTAAACGTAGCAGATGTAGGCTAAGCATGGTTTTTCTTATGGATGAGTAACTGGTTCCAGAAGAAGCAAAGAGAAGAAATAAATGGACATTTTTCACACTGAAAATCAGTACACTTAATTGCTCTCCGGAGGAGTGCTATTTAGCATGTTCACTAATTATGCAGACTTCAGAGTGAGCAGAGAGGTAGACACATTTCACACTAAGTTACTGTGGATGGTGAAAAAATCAAACAGTTTGCAAAGATCTATTGGTTATTTTGATAGCATTCCTTTTTTAGATGGTGCTGTATTATATTTCAACAATTTGTGATCTGCTCAGAGAAGATTTATTGAGCAGATTTTAAATGCTATGAGCAAACAAGTAAGACTTGCCTCCAAACTCTCCCCCAAAACAACAAAAAGTGTGGTGGCTGGAAAAGAAAGAAAGATCTGAAGGGCTACAAACTGATTCCATTTTTTCTTGCTTAGAAATGTGCAATGTTAATATAGTTAATATAAATACATGTAAAGTCAAGCACTCGGTGTAAGAGCACATGTACCCTGACTGAACTGAACTAGCTGTGTGACTAAGAGATAAATCTTTAGGTTCTGCTAAAATCTTCCAGTCCAACGATCCCATGACAGGACAATAATACTCATTTGCAAAGAAACAGTGGAAAAAAGGAACTTTTTCTGGGTTGAATGGTAGGAAACAAAAATGTATTACAAAAGATAAATAAATTGATTTTATTTACATGACCCTTCACATATCATGCACACTTCTAGAGAAACTAACTTCACATGGATATGAACATTAATTCAAAACCAACATGTATAAGGTGATAAAATGGCGCCCCTGGAAAGGGTGTTGTGAATGCGTGAGCGCCAAATGGCTGCTCAGGAGAATCAGGCTTTCTCCTTCTCCCCCAACAGCAGCTGTTTCACACCCACCGTGGTGGACTGAACACAACCAGATGAGCATATGGAAAAAGGGCAAAATCCCTCTAAATTATAGGTTGCAATTCTTCTTGTTGCTTACAGAAGATGAGCAGTGCATTGAGTATCACAAGCTGGAGCCAGCTGCAGAGAAGAGCTCGGAGAAAATGTTGACTCAGGTGCACAGTGGCAGCAAAAGGAAAATTCCACACTGGAGTCAGTGGGAAAGGGATGGAAAAGCTGCAGAACTGTAATTTTGCAATTGAGATCTGGTGGGTCGGATCCAGACCTTCAAGTAGACACTGAAATCAATGGGACTTGGGCTAGTCATGACTCTCCAAGTCCCCATTGATCTCCTTAGGTCTACTCCAAGTATGGATCTCTCTCATGGAGCAGCTTGTATTTGTAATATCCAGTGCAGCTTTGTTCCTGTATCTCAAAGAGGACATTGCGGGGCTGAGAAAGGGCAACCAAAATGCACATGGGGCTAGAGCAACTCCCCTACGAGGAAAGCCTGCAATGTCTGGGTCTCTTTAGGTTAGAAAAGGGGAAGACATGATACGGGTGTGCAAAAGTGTGTGTGGGGTGGAGAAAGTGGATAGGGTGACATTTTCCGTTCTCTCTCTCATACCAGTAGAACCCAGTAGGGTCAACTAGTAAAGCTGATGGGGCGGTGGGGAGAAGGAAGGGGTTCTGCGCACCCATATATGTAAAGCTGAATGTGGAACTCGTTTGCACAAGATGGAGTGACAGCCACCAGAGTTTTAAAAGATGGTTGGAGACCCGAAGGCTTCATGCTGCCTCCAGGATCAAAGGCACGACGCCTGTGGCACCCGTTGCTGGGGAATTGGTCAGCAGCGGGATAAAGCTGCACTCATGCCCTGGGTGGCTGGGTGGCCACTGCGCAAGCAGACTGCTGGGCTAGATGGACCCTTGGCCTTCCCCATCCTGGCTCTTCTTGGATTCTTACGTTCTTAGCTCTGTCAATGGCTATTGGACATTTAGATCCAAGCCATTCAGAGGCAAAGAAAACCGGTGCTGCGGAGCTACAGTTGTAGAATCCCATTGGCTACAAGGGCCATGCCCTGCACAGGAGCTTCCTTGCCCTTCCGAAAAGCTGCTTCAGGGGTCAGCGACATGCCATATTCCCAGCACTAGCCAACCCAACAAACCCAGTTCCCTCTGTGTTTTAATGGTTCTGCTTGAAGTACTGCTAAGTCAGGGTGCAACCCATTAGACTTGTGTGAAAAGCATTGCGCTGTTGGCAGCTTTCCCATCTCTTTCTTAAAAATCTGCAGAGTGTGTGATGCCACAATGGGGGTTGCCGAGAAAGAAAGCAAGCGGAGCAGGGGAATGAGCCCCACCACCTTACGAGAGCAAAGATCCTCTTTTACGCACACAACAAGCTCTTTGCCCCAGAGCTAAACTCCTTCCTCTAAAATGCGACACTTCAATACATTTCGTTCCTTTCCACCCACAGGCAGCTGAAATGTTCCTGCCAGCATCTCAGTGCAATGGATTCTCTGATTTCACTCCGACAAGCAAACGACGGTTCTGCTGCAGTCAGTCACACGCTATTGCCAAGGCGGCTGTGGAAACCCCCTTTCTCCATGTCCAGTTCAAACACAAAGCTGACCCCTGCTGGATGACCCCAAGGGTCCAGCAAGTCCACAGCAGCTGACCTGAGCCCACTGTAATGGCAGCTGCTTTGAGCGGCTTCTGGGGTCATTCATCTCAACATCACTTTGCCCTACGGTACCAGACAGCAACAAGAGCAGAGGCTGCATCTCTCTGTCATTAGGCGGTTTTCACTGGGCAGGGCAAGAAAGAGTTAAAATACCTGGGCACTGTGGTCCAGATTCTGTTCCTTCCACGCACCACCCACATGCCTGCTCTTTAGAAGAAGAAGACGATGATTTCATTACTACAAGTTACAGTATGTAATTCCAAGCATCATGGACATTTTGCACCCAACAGCCATTGGGAGAATTCATCTTCCATTTGCCTAATCCCATTCTCCCATTCCCTAAATTCGCTGCCCCAATTTGTTTTAACAGCATATTCCATAAGCGAGTGATGCATGATGTGAAGAGATACATTCTCTAAGAACTGTGTTGACCCTTTGTCAGATGTCCAGCTGCCCCCTCAACCCTAACCCCACTCTTCTTCTGAGCAGATCAGGACAGACCTGCTCCCGTCCCACGTTTCCACTGCCCAGTGGTGGCATCCTTTTGGGAGGAGGTAAAACTGCCAGAAGGAAAATTGACGCATGTGAACCATGGCGCTGGAGAAGAGCTTTGAGAATATCTGGACTGACAGAAAGACAAGCAGGTGGGTCCCAGGTCAACTCAAGCGAAAGATTGCCAACACTGAGCGCTCGGTGAGAAGGCAAGACTCCCTGGAGAAGACAGTCTTGCTAGGGGAAGTTGAAAGTTGAAGGCAGAGGAAGAGGAGGAAGGAGGATCTATGTGAGATACAAGAGACAGACCCATTCCATGAAGGAAGCCGCAGCCTTGAGTTTACAAGAGCTGAGCCGGGCTGCCCACAACAGGACATTTTGGGGGGCTTCTATTCAAGGGGTCCCCATGAGACAGACATAGCTTGGCAGCACATAAGGATAACAATGAACCCAGATACATCTTGTGAAGGAAAGTTTGTTAATATTCACACATGCTCTTTTGAATTACCTACCCATCTCTTGGGATTTAACATGAGGTCAAAGTGGATTTTTTCATGCCGTTTTGATGGCTAAATCATTAATATTGCAAAGCATAAAAGGTCACCTACAATAGTGCAATGGGTGGAGGATTTCAGTTTTTAAAATATTTCAAAGTTTTTGAACAGGCGGCCTTTAGGTATAATCTATAAATGGATAAATACATGAATTCTTGCGTGGTTATAGTTTTTTGAACAATTGAATATATTGTTAATACTCTGTAAACTGCCCTGAGAGCTACTTTGATTAACTGGTGGTGTAATTTATTTATTTATTTATATTTGAGGTGCTTTTGTTGATGTCTTTGCACACTTAGTAGTAGTAATGGTGGTATGTTTTCTCATATACTAACATATAGAGATATTTATAATATTTAAGTAATTAGAGCTATGCACTATTTTACAGTTTATTCAAAAATTGTCATGTTTTGAGACTGTTTCTTTTTCTTTCTTCCCTGTAATGGTTTGTTTTGATTTTTGTATTGCACAATAAAAATAAATACATTTTTAAAATGTCAAACTAACCAGCTAGGCTGACTTTGTGATACAAAGTAGGAGTACTGCAGTATCATCACAAAAGACACCCGCGGAGTCAGAAAGGCAACAGCTGGGGAAGTTCGGCTCATACTAAGCAGCTGGTTCTGAATGGAACTGCTCGCCTCCCTTTTCAATCAAAGGGAGCTCCTTGACCCTCAGGGTCATTCTGCCTGCGGGCCAGATGGCAAAAACTCAGTTGGCCTGCCCTTTGGATCTGATGCTGGACTGTGGGAGCCATCACGCTCTTTCCACCCGCTCCAGTGGGGTTTCTCACCAAACCAGCTGCGGTCTGGACTCACTGGCCTCTTGGATGATCATTTGGCTTGCCAGCCTTGCCCCTTCAGCTAAGAATTCCAACCCCGCTTCTTCTCCCAGTTCGATTCAGACACTGAGGCCACAACCTTGGAAGGCTGTGTTTTGGGAGAAGCAGACCCAATCCATTTCATCCGGAGGACCCAAATTCTCATGTTATGAGAAACAGAGGAAAAGCTTCTCTGTATCCATTTTCTCTATACCACGCATTTTTAAAAAATACAACCCCTGACTTCATACCAAAGGCAGACATTGAGGATTAAAGAATTCAGTCCCTAGGGATTTATTCAGCATATCAGAACTAAGCAGAGCTCCTTCCCCAGGAAAACCCGTTTCTGGCTATGCCAAGCATTCTTCATTTCAGCATTGGTCAAGAATAGAAGGACTTGTGGCCTAAAACATCTAAAGTCTACTCTCTTGAGAAAGGTCTCCGTATATCACCTGGAGAGCATTGGCTCTTGAGCTCTCTAGGAATATCATCATTAAAAATGCAGTGCCTTCAGACCCCCATGATGAAAGTCCCCAACTATCAGTAGGAGAAGCAAGAACCTTAGAGTGGTGAAGCTCATTTTCCAGGAATCTTCTCCACTAGTCAATCTGTGGACACTGAATCTGCCCCTACATCTCAGAGGACTCCTTTCTTGCCTCCGTATCGCTCAGCGGAGGAAATTGTCTGCACAGGAGCAACTAAGTCTTACCTTGTCCAGCTTCATGTGAAGATATAAGCCAAATAGAGCTGTCCCGATGAGCTGCACAACCACAAACAGTGAGATCAAACTCAGGAATGCCTTCATGGTGACAGGTACCCTGGCAGGTCTTGTGGTGTCTGGGGAATAGGGCTCACTGAGGTCCATGGATCTGTGTCCTCCGAAGGCTTGGGGTGTGTGCAAGCAGCATGAATGCTGCCTTGGCTCTTACCTTGCTCAAGGCGGCAATGAGACAAGCAGAGCACACACCTACCCACAACTTCCTGGGGAACAATCTAACCTTCCATTGTGGGGAGATTTGTTCACCCACAACAACAGCAAAAACAAAGTCATTGTTTGAACTCACTCTTTGCAACTCACTTCCATGCTGCTCCTTCAAAAGTCAACCATGTATTTGTCTTCCATTGTGTTCATTCTTTTGCCCCCTCCCCGTTTTTCCTATTATGAGCAACCATTTCATCCCCCCACCCTCCCAGCTTCAAAGAAAGGAGGAATTTATGACTGGAGATGCTGCTGAACATGTGAATCCCAGCAGGGGAAGACAACATAAGAACTTGGGACGAGTGGCTGAATCAGAGCAGGGTGTGCACCTAATCCCAACAGTGGTCAATGAGGTGCTTCCACCTTCCCATGAGCAAGCTTCTTGTTGACCCCACGAATTGGTATTCTCATATATGCTACCACTCACCAGCAAGGTTCTGACATAGCTAACCATAATGGCCATTGTCCGAACTTTCCTCCTCCATTAATTCGTCTGGCCATCACCAGGCCTTGTGACAACGAATCCCATTGCTCAGTTATGGCTTGTATGGAGTATTTTTCTGCAAGAACACAAGAGCCCACCTGGAACAGGTCAAAGACCAGATAGTTAGGAGAAGCCTGCAAAGCAGGAGGTGGGTTCAACAGCCCCTTCCCACCCTTCATCTACTGCCCGTGGAAATTGGAACTTTGAGTTCTAGCAGTGGGACATTGGGAGAACCACTCTCCTTTCAAAAATGAATATGATATTCAGGTTGACAAAAGAACAACACATCTGTTCACAACAATTGTTCACAGCACAGGGAAGCTCCTCTATCAGGCAGAGTTGACCCTGTATTCTTTCTTCATAAAGCCAATGGAAGAGAGCCACTCTGTGTTTTCTTCACATCTTCAGTGGATATGTCCCAGGTAAACATCACTTCAGTCCTCGTAGATTTTGCAAGCTATTTGCTTCGCGCTGGGCTGGTAGCCCAGCATACGTTGGCCACAAGCACTTCAAAGTTGCATATTTGCATATTCCACGTGAGTTCCTGAGGTTGTGCCCAGGTTTTGGGCTTCTACACAGGTATTTCCCACACTCACATGAATCCTCACTTCTAGCAGTTTGCATGTGCTTGCATGACACCTGTGCAGGTTCTCCTGGGTGCTCCAAGCATCTGCAGGGCTTTCAGTCGAGGAAAATATAGCATCACCTGGAAATGTGCCAATGAACCAGAATGGAGAGGTCATGGATTTCCACCACTCTTGAAGCCCTGCTTGTCCGTTGTTTAATGGAGCATATAGACAGGCTGGGAAAGAAAAGCCTCGAGCGAGTTTTTAAAGATGTGTAAAGAACTGGCCTACAAAGAATCTGGAAGCAAGAGTCTTGATAAAGAGGCAGGTTAGAAGCTTCAGAAAGAGAAGCCCCATGTCACTGAAATCAGTGGGGTTTAATTTAGCTGTGATTTACTTAATTCCGCTTGATTTTGGTGGAGACCACACGAAGTAGGACTAAATCCGGAGCCAAGCCCATTTGTCTGTTCATTTGTGCGCTGGTGTTTTTGGAGGGGAGGTCGTTTGCCGCTTGGGATTCATCTGTATTGGTTTGGGTCTGATCTATGCTTTACAATATGGGAGCAAAAGAGGAGGCAGGGCCAAAGATCTGCAGTTTCATTACAGCAATTCTTCCTCCAGAGCTTTTGGTTAGAGGTTAGCCCTTCCATGGGTGCAGAATTCAGCTCTTGCACCTGCCCTTTTTCAGCAGTTCAATCATTGCAGAATTATATGTATGCACACCATGCCATTATAAGCATCTGTGATGACAAGGCTGTTCATGGTGAGTCAGCCAAACTGGATTCTTCTGTGGTCACCAAAGCCTGGCTGGAGGAGTGGACACAGAGACCGAGCCTTCGAAGACGACCCGTGAGGAAGCAGCTCAGCGGACTGGAACCTGGCAGCTGGGGAGAGCTGAGTTCAAAGAGGGCCCATGCAAGTTTGGAGGTAGAATGGGCAAGGAACCAACTGTCAGGAACTGAGCCCTACAATTCCTTATTTATTATATTTATTCCCTACTCCTTTTCCTGCAAGAAAACCCAGGCAATTTAAGGACTCTGCTCTCCCTTTGATTCTCACAATGATCCTGCAAAGTAAGTTAGGCTGAGAAGTCTGTGACTCGCCTGTGAACTTCATGACTGAGGTGAACTAGATCCCAGACCTCCTGTGTCCTGGTCTAGCACTCTACCCACTAGTCTTCCAAGCCCTGGACAGCTACAACAGGTTTTATTTTAAAGAAACAAACCACTTTTAAGGAACATGTCCTATGGGATTCTTTGTCCAACATTTCATTTCTTTTCTAGAGCAAAGAACTTTTTATTTACCTGATATTTTAATTGTTCAGATAATCTGACAGTTTTATAATATTTTACATTTTATTTTACTTCTTGCTGTTGTGCCTTTTATTACACCTTTATTGATAAAGACTTGAGGTCAATGTGAAGTTTTGTGTCACTGGATTTTATAGTTGTATTATTTGTTAATTGAATATTATTTTGTTATGCATATTGTATATTTTGTAATTTTGTAACCTGCCCATACAGCCTTTCTGGCTAATGGTGTGGAATATAAATTTAATTAATAAATACATAAATAAATAAATTCTCCACCTGTGCTTGAGTGAAGAAATTGGGTGGACAATTTCATCACATTTCTCCAGGGAAAGTTGAAATTCAGGCAGGGCTTTTCAGTGATGATACTCCCCATTAGCCATGGCTGTAGGATGGCATCCCTCTCGCTTCTTTGGGAGTTTTGGTGGTACCACTGCAAGGGGAAACAGCAGGGAATCTGCTGGCCCCCCCAGCGCATGTTTAGCATCCATGACACTCATTGTGTGCTTGTGGGGAGGATATTCTTTACACCTCTCCATTCCTTTTGGTCCCAAAAGAGCCCTGTAGCATTTACGTGGGCACAATTGTCGACCCAATAGCTCTGGATAGCTCACCACAGAGCTCATGGGGAAGTACTTCATGGTGCCTTCTCCTGGGCTTTAATTGGAGTAGAAGAACCCACTGTCGTGCCTGGTGGCTCAACAGAGACGTCACCTCACGAGAAAGAGTCAAACGTTCAAAATGAGAATCAGACATTAGAGCAAGATGACTTATACTTGGGGCCCAGTAGCCAAATGGCCCCTCCACAGCCTGACTCTGGAACAACTGAACAAATATCTCCCCCACATCCTGACCCTTTACCCTCTGAACAAACAGCCCCGTCACGGCCTGATCATGAGGCTTCTGAATGGGAGGCTTCTCCTTATTTTGGCTCTCAGAAGCACAAGCAAGATACCTCCCCCCCTCACCTCCTGATGCTGTGACTCCTGGACGGGGTCCAGGAGATACAGGAGGCATGACGTCTTTAGTTAATGCTAGTTTTAGACGCAGCCTAAGACGACTGGAACAAAAGGGAACACAAGACAGAGGTTTGTCCTGCCCAAGAGCGGAAAGATGTGACAGGAAAAGCTAATACCACGTGGGCTCCCCAGAGTCTTCACAAAGGGGAAGGCAACTGACCCGTTAAGACCATCATTAGTGCTTATCTGTTGTATCGTTAATCTTGTAGAAAGTAGCAATAAAAGACTTTAGTTTTATTGCCTGCTACTGTGTGAGTTAATTGGATACGTAAGTTATGGCCTCATGACACCCACGGAGGTAACAAGCTACCAAGGAAGGGATTGTCCACTGAACGACATCCTTGGATTGTCCACTGAATGACTCACAACACATTAAAATTCAGGACAGAAGGACAGGGAGAATCTGTTGAGAAGTGTGGCTTCTAGATCGAGAGAGGTATTACTACCACTCTATACAACTCTGGTGCACCTGCAACTGGAGTATTGTGCTCAGTTTTGGGCCCCTCATTACAGGAAGGATATAGCCAGGTTGGAGTCAGTGCAGCGTAGGGCCACAAGGTTGGTGGCCGGATTGCAGGGGAAGCCGTATGAGGTGAGACTGAGGGAAAAGGGTCTTTTCAGCCTGGAGAAGAGGAGACTCAGAGGGGATCTGTTGGTGACATACAGGTATGTGAGGGGGTGTCACACGGAGGTGGGTAGAGACCTGTTCTCCCCTGCAGAGGAAGGCAGGACGCGCTCCAACAGAGCAAAGCTCAGGGAACCAAGGTCCAATTTGGATGTCAAGAAGTACTTCCTGACAGTTAGGACCCTGAGGGGATGGAATGGGCTTCCACGAGAGGTCGTTGAGGCCCCATTGGTGAGGGTGGTCAAGGATAGGCTGGACATGCACATGGTAGGCATGTCATGCGTAGAGCTGGCTGGAGCCACTGGTCAGACTAGTTGGCCTGGGAGGCCCCTTCTGGCTCGTTCTGTTTCTATGTTTCTGTGTTGTTGACAGGTTGTTGACAGTGTTGTGATAAATGGTAAGAGGGACTTTGCCACAGAGGTCAGGTGGCCATGTGTCTTCCTTTCTTTGAAGGCCTCTGTTAGAAATATAAACCTGTAAGAAGGGAGATCTCGGATTCTCGGCCTTTCATATCCACTGTTAGCACAGCCTTCACCAACCCAGTTCCTTCCAGTTGTGTTCAACTTCAACCCCATGATCCATCCCCATTGACCATGCTAACTAAGGCAGATGAACCTTATGGTCCAAAGCGTCTGGAGGGAACCAGTTGGCAAAGGCCAAGGTAACACCTGGGGAGCAGACCTGAACACACGCATCAGCCCCATTTGGGTGAGATGCCTTATATTTCCATTTAAATTAAAGTCATGATTTCAAAATGGATCTCTATTCATTACAATTAGCACATGGAAATTGTATGGAAATCTCTGTCCTCTTTCACTTGCTTTTTTAGTGATGCATTTCCTCTTTGGGCCACCTCATACACAGGATCCACAGGTTTTCACCTGTCCAAAATCCACAGAAAAGGCAAGGAAAGGGGAACTTCACTTATTAGT